TGTTTCTCTGTGGGTTCTGTGTACAAATTGCTGATTGGGATACCACAGGTGACAAATTATTCTCTGCAGGAAACCCAAACAAGATGACAATACTTCAGAGGGATTCCTCAGAACAGAGCTCTCTCCTGACTGTCTCTTTAACTGACCAGCAGGGTTCTCCTTTGGATATCATGACCTCAGGTGTCTTGACAGCCACAGAACCATTCTCCTTACCTGGTGGTCCCCTCCAGGAATGGGGAAGAGAGAGATTGATCTTGCTCATGAGCATAAAATGCTGCAGTCGTTTGGTGGGAAGCTTTTGCAGGAGAAGGGTGTTTAGCAGCAATTAAATCTTTCCTTTCAGGTGTCAAAGAAGTGGGGGGGTCATATGAACTGGGGAGTAGTGCATGTGTGTGTATATGTATATTTGTGTATGTGTTGGTGGTCAGAAATTTTGCCTGGAAGCTGCAGAATGGCAGAGTTCCTTACTTGAGGATCTGTGCTCTTATATGAGGCATATGCCTTCTAGGGCCATTTCCTATAGGAGTGCATGACTTCCTGAAAGCAGCCTGGACTACTGCATTTTTTGTAGCAGTGCATGACTTCCTGGAAACAACCTGGACCTGAATAATTGCTGGGTACTGAATTTTTTGGCCATCGTTTACTTTTTCTAAATGGAATTTTGCTGGGCTCAGGAGAAAAGAATTTATTGAAAAGCAGATTGATGTAAGTTGCCAGCTGTGTCATCTCTATAATTGGGCTGAATGGATGGAGCCAGACACGGGTGTATTTTGAAGGACATTGGGTAGGATTCCATGCTCATAAATATCTTCCCCACAATCAGTCCTAAATACCTGAAATTTAAAACTAAGAGCTTTTCCCAACCCACACTTCCCGTTAAGGTTTTAGACAGAGAATCATCAAATGTCAGAGACAGACTAGATCACTTGGCAAGTCCAAGTCACAACCCTCTACTTTAGAGATGAAAAGACAAAGGGCCATAAAAAAGCCACCCAAAGTCACACAGTCAGTAAAATGACATGCAAGGACTAATAACAATATAAGCTGAAATGTGACAATGTCTTAAAAGTGGTATGAAGCAAGTCATGTGGGACTTTAGAAGGTGGAAAAAACAATAAACAATACAACAGTAAAAAATAATACACATTTTAAAATATAACAACTATTTACATGGTATTTATATTGTATGAGGTGTTGTAAGTAATCTAGAGATGACTTAAAGTATGCGGGAGGACAGGTTATATGCAAATACTACCCCATTTTATATTAGGGACTTCAGCATCAATGGATTCTGGTATTCGTGAGGGTTCTGAAACCAGTTCCCTGCAGGATACCAAGGGACAGCTGTAAATTGAAGGTGACTTTGGGTAGAATGAATACCATAAACGGAAGTGGTGGGAAAGTGTGAAGTCTTCAGAGACTGACAAGGAGTCCAGTTTGGCTGAATCACAATACCATCATCTTATAAGATGTGTATAGATCATCTCACATAACCTTGTAGCAAATATACTTGTATAAGATGGGAAGCATTCTCTATAATGTGGGTAAGTGGCTTATGAAGATGTCAGAAAAAGGACTTGTGGCAGATCCTTAGACTGAAAGCCCAATGTCCTTTTCACAATCTCACAGTTTGCCCTGTACTTGTTAAGGGTTTTAGTGTTGGGGTATCCATTGTAGAGGGGGTCAAATGCTCAACTGAGGAGTTTGAACTTGATTTGATAAGCAATGCGTATTTTTTTTTTTTTTTGAGTGGCAAAAACGTGTTTAGAGCTGTGCTTTAGAAATTTAATCTGACAGGAGTGTTAAGATGAATTGGAGACCCAGGTACCTAAACCAAGGTGAACCCTTAGAAGAGCTTAGGCTTCAGGGATCGAAGTCCTGAGAAACTGTGCTGAGATGATCTGAGGGTTAAATAAGTTAACTACACTGTCCAAAGTTAGATTGAGCTATCTCAGGTGCACCCGAGGTTCAAATTCAAGTCTGTTTCTAATGCCCATATTCTGGATTCCACTTCTCCAATGAGTTGGAAGGAACGCTAATATGTGTCGAAGAAGGTGAGAGTGCTAGAATATATTATCCCTATGGGCTGTTGCAAAATAGTGTACATATACCTAATGTGCACCCAGCCCCGTGCTAGGCTAGGGTGGGTAGTATGTGCAAAAGCCAAGCAATAAAGCTAAATAAAATTCATGAATTTTCAAGTATTTTACATTAGTCTAAATTAGGAAAGCAGTTAAAAGGCACTTGTTGGTCTAAGAGGTGAATTTTTCTGTCTTTAGCCTACTTGTCAGCATCAAATCTAATATCCATCAAATTAGGCAGGAATTAGCACCAATAGTTTTTTTTTAATAGTTTTATTAAACTATTATTTAATTTTCCATAGTTCTTCCTCCAAAGAGCATAAAATGTAATGAGTTTTAAAACTTGGGGATAATTATAACTCGTGATCATATCTTGGCCATGTACATGCATTTTCATTAAAACACTAAAATTTGCCTCCATGTCCTGCTGGGTTTTTTTTTTTTTTTTTTTTTTGCTGCTGCCTTGATTCCTTCTCTTTTTGAATTCCGGACACTTGTTGTCACATAAGTTAGCCCCCCTTCTTGACTTCCTGGCCACTTACCCTTGGGTTAGCCTGCTTGCTTCTTTTCTGTCTCTCATATGACTACTCTTTCCTGAGCAGTGCATGACATTTCAGTCATTCACCAGTGATGTGCAGGGCAATTCCCATCTTGATGCTGTTAGTGGAAAGTCATGCATGTCACTGGTTTCTGCCTTATTTGTCTTTGCCAAGCATAACATGTTACCCGGGTCTCCTTGCAGTCCAGGTTTCTGTGTGTGCTGTGTTGTCAAGGGAGCCTGGCAGCATTCATCCCCACCTCTCCCCCGTGATCTGGTTCATTCTCTTCTGGCATCCATATGTTGCTTCTTAGGGATCCTTATGAAGTACTTTGGGCAGTATATACCCCTCCATTCTAAGTGATACTCTGCTGAGGACCAACAGTCAGACACATCCTGTGCTTATCCATGTATTATAGGTTAAACACATAGACTCTTGGCAAAACTCCAACCTTTTGGATGTGGCTGCTACTATCCAGTTCTCCTAGTTGCAGATACACAGAGTTTTAAAGATGGAATCAAACTTGTGTCATTTCACAGGTGCAAAGTCCAACTTACCATGCTTGTAGTCACTGGGGTGGTTGTGCTTCTGCGCGGTTCTCTAAGGACTTGATAATGAAGGTATTGAGTGTACGGGGTGATGGCTGTCGTCATCCCCTGGGACCAGGGGTTGGAGTCTAAAACTAAAGTAAAAAACAAATGAGAATGAGAACTACAAGCATCCCCAGACTTCTTGAGAGGCCACCTTTCAATGTAAAGGTTTCAAAAGAGCAAGGAGAGAAGAAACAGACACTGTGGCAACAGGGATGTCCTAGAACTATGGAGGATCTCAAAGTCACTTGTAATTCCATCCACTGGACACTAGGTAAGATTCTGTCTAAGTTTGCAAGTAATCAGTTGCATAGCCAATTTTAAAGATGTTTTTTCAGCTTCGTCTTCCCCACCATGTCTGCTAGTCACCTATAGACAGCACTTGGGTCCCTTCTCATCACTGACGATTTGTGTGAGCTGAGACCAGCTCTTGCTGACCTTGAAGAGAGGCTCGTGGTGAAGGTTTCATCCCAGCTACCACGTGACTCTCCCCCTTGTTCTCTCCTTCCAGCCCAGTTCTCTCCTGTCTGTCTAGTCTGCCTCTAATTGGTCAGATTCCCTTCTGTCTTCACACCACTTTTCTAGCTTCTAGACCCATGTCAGAAGAGGGGCTGGCATTCATTCACCTATGCCAAGAAGCAAGGACCTACCTGCATTGATGATTAGCAAGGCGGGGCAGGCTGCCCATGGTGGCTTCTCCGTTCTTCTGTAGCCCACTCTGCCTAGGAAGCCACAGGAGCTGGTGCCTGGAGACTTGAGTTCTAAACCTACCTTCATTTGGGAAAGGGAGTTAGATTAGTTGAGCCCTAAACTTAGTCCTGCTCCTAGTCCAGCAGTACATACTAAGTATATATTTTGTGCCAGGCACTGGGGATCGAAAGCAGAGTGCCTGCCCTCTGGGAAGTGGATTTGTGAACTGGAGGTGCATAGCTGAGTACAGCCTGTACAAGCAATTTTTTCCCCAAAGTGGTGGCCCTAATGTTTGTTCTCACTCCTTGCTTTGAACATCCATTTTCCTGGGAGATCTGCTGGGCAGCTCTTCTTATTACTTGTCTGTCTTCTCACTATCTTTTTTAAAGGGGTAAAGATGGATGTGTCTTTATCCTGATATAGAGTATCTTCTTTCTGCCTTCCATTTAGTCTGACTCAAATTCCTCTTACTGCAACTGATAGCTGTTTTATCCAAATTCTGGGAAACTTGAGGGAAGGTCAGCTTGGTGGCTATTAGCATGATCTTTTTCATATATCTATATGAACGAAAAATGTTCAAAGCTACTTACAGGCATGCTAGACTTAAATGCAAGAGAAGAAAAGATCCTTGTTTTTGAAGAAACTATATATTGGCATGAGATGGGCATGTTAGAGAATCATAGATGAAATTATATAACAGAGAGAGAGAGAGAGAGAGAGAGAGTGAGAGAGAGAGAGAGTGTGTGTATATGGAAATACTCAGGATGTGTCAAGGGAGTGACCTAGGGGCACTGTACCCAGAGAGAGCCTGAGAGAGTGACCCGCTGGCTGCATCTCTCTTCCTCTGGGTCATAAAGAAAGGTATGTACTGTTTTAAGCCCATCTCAGAACTGCTTTCTTCCTCCCCACTTCAGATCTTCTGCAAGCATGTGAGGGAGGGTGGACTATTTTTACACTGCCCTTCCACATTTATTCCCCATTTATCCCTACAAGTGGGAGAGATGCTCCTAGTGAGGCTCAGGCCCTTGTCAGACAGAGTCTCTGGAAGGCAACAGAGCCTCTCCACACCCAGCAGCTGACCAGAGCTTTGTCCCTTGCAGAGATGAGAAGAACCAGTCCATCATAGTCAGCGGGGAGTCCGGAGCCGGGAAGACTGTGTCAGCCAAGTATGCCATGCGCTATTTTGCCACAGTGGGTGGCTCAGCCAGTGATGCCAACATCGAAGAGAAGGTCCTGGCGTCCAGTCCCATCATGGAGGTAAAGCCTTCCAGATGTCCCCAGCCTTCTTGGCTAGACCTCCTGCTGGCAGCAGCACTGCTGGGTGCTGAGCCTGGCATGACTGATCTCAAGAATTCTTGGAAGTGGCTCATGTAGGCAGCATTCCCACCTCTCCCTGGGAGCCCGTTGTCTACTATTGAATAAATTATAAAGGTGTCCCTGAAACCACAGACTGGAGAATATTCTGACCTGGTGTGTCCTTCAGAGTCCCCCACCGTTGAAGCTGAGGCTCTTCATTATTGTCTGGATTACATCTGGCGGGAGTGGGCCCTTCTGCCAGCCCTGGGCAGCCCCTCTGTTTTATTAAGAAGAAATTCAGCTGAGGCCACAAGCTGCTGAGATAGCATCAAGTTTCCCTGCAGAGCCCTGAGCCCCATCAGCTAGGACACAAGTCCCCACAGCGGTTGGTCTTTCAGGTTATTTGGGAGCTGGGGGAACAAGAAACTGCCTGGACCTTCCCCTTCCCCTGCCTCTCCCTCTTCCTGTACCAAGTGCAGGAGTGAATTCTGAGGCTCAATTCATAGGAGCTCATTGATTATCCGGGCAGAATCTCCTGTCCTCAGAGTTGCGTTACCTGGAGAATTTCTGTTCTCCGCTGAGTAACAGGACACCACCCGTTCACAAAGATTTCAACAAAAGCAAGTTGCAGCGTTTGTTCTTAGATGAATTGGAAAATGATCAGTACAGTTGAGAGCATTTTTACCAAACATATAGGATAAAAATTTTTATTTTTGTTCTTATTACAGTGCTTCTCAAACTTGAGGCTGCATAAGAATTGTGTCAAGGGCTTGTTAAAGCAGATTGCTGGACTCTACCCCTTCTGAGTTTCTGGCTCAGAAGGTCTGGGAAGGTGCTCAGTAATCTGTGCTTTTCATAACTTACTAAGGGATGCTGATGCTGCTGGTCTGGATAGTACACTTTGAGAACCATTGACCTATTAAAAAGATACAGGGAGCTCACTGGAAAATGTGAAAGGATGAAAGGAAATTATCCTCCATAATACTATAGCCTGCTGATAATCATTCACCATTTTGGTATATTTTCTTCTAGATTTTTCACTGAGTTTTATAGAACAAACCTTGTCTTCATTAAAATTTTTATGAACTATCTTATTGGCTGCAAACATATATAAATAAATGGTTTTACCATAATTTAACTCCCTGTTCTACAATTAATTGGTAGCCTGTGTACTCACAGTGTTTATTCTAAGCCCCAAGGCTGGGGTCTGGCCATGGTCCCAGTTCAGAAGGTATGTGTGGCCTTGGCCTTCCTGAGACCATCTACCACACCTGTGTTGGAGCAGCTTGGACAGCATTCTGCAGTTAGCATTATGTTTTACCTCAAATGGGAGTGAAACCAGGCTTTTCTCCTTTGCCCCTGAATTTCAAAATTCAGTTCATCTTTTAGGCAGTAAGATTCAGAGACTCAGGATACTACCTCTTTTTTAAGATAAATTAGTTATTTCAGGCAAAACAGAGAAGAAACCTCTTGGATCTCTGGTGACTGAACCAAGTAACTGATAGTCACTTTGGGAATTTAGTGAAAGCAGTTCACCACACTACTAAATGTGTATGAGACATGGGGGGCATGTTTTTGTGAAATTTTTTTATTGTGGCAAAATATATATAGCACAAAATTTATCTTTTAAACCATCTTAAGTGTATCATTCAGTGGTATTAAGTGTATTCACAGTGCGTGTACAGCCATCAACACCCTGTATTTCCCAGAACTTTTTCTTCATCGCAAGCAGAGACTCTGTACCCATTAAACAACCCCCCATTCTCCCTTCCCCCGACACCCAGTCCCGGGTAACCTCTCTTCTGCTTTTTGCCTTTATGAATTTGCCTATTTTAGATACCTCAAATTTATATAATACTAGTACTTTTTTGCGCCTGACTCATTTTGCTTAGCGTAAAGTTTTCAAGGTTCGTCCATGTTTTAGCATGTATCGGTACTTTGTTCCTTTTCATGGCTAGATAATATTTCATTACATGGATATGCCACATTTTGTTTATCTATTCCTCTGGTGGACATTTGGGTGGTTTCCACCTTTTGAATAACATTGCTGTGAACTTCGGTGTGCACTCGAGTCAGCTGAATCACCAGCCTGCCCAGACTTCTGAGCACCGCACATTGGGCCTCTGTGTCCGTGTTCCCTCCCATCTGTTAGTTACAGACAAATGCTGAGAATATGTCAGAGAAGACAAATGCCGCAGTGGAGACAGGAGGGATGGCGGATCGTTTACTCTTCCGATGATTTCCAAACCTCAGTTAGGCCATAGTTTCAACATCGTCCTCCCCAGCAATGAGTGGGGACCTCTTTCCTCCTTCCTCTGCCTCGGTGCACCATTCTTTAGTTTGGGCAAGTGAAAGAGGAGAAGCCAGCGGTAGGGGCTGCAAGTCACCTGCAGGAATCCAGCTGGATTTGGAGACGAGGAGTGAAACTGACATTTACTGAATGACTACCATGGCGTGCTAAATAGTGTCTTGGGAGCGAGATTCATTTATCTGCTGTGTGGCATTGGTATAAGGCATGTCAGTCAGGGTAAGACCTTACCTCCAGGTGGCACTCAGCTGGCCCATCCACCTGGCCTATGAGTCAGAAGACTGAGAATGCCTGAGACCATGTTTCCACCTGAACCTCAGTGTGTCTTTGCTGCACCTGAGCAAGAGCTCAGGTGTGAGACACATGTGATCAGAAGGTTGCATATTCCAAAACCCACAGTGTGGGAGCGCATGGTCAGGCGAGATAGGTTTCCAGGTCTGCCATCCAGGTAGGATAACTGCTGTGGAGCATGACAGGAGACTGTCTGTGTTTACCTGAGTCTGACACTCAGTCATCAGGCACTCAGGGCTTAAGCCAAGTCACCTGTTTCTTGGAGCTGTGTGGAGGTGATGATAATTGCCCCTTCCTGGACTTTTCAGGTGTGATACTCTGGTCCGGAAAACACAAGTCCTGATGCATCCTACAGGGGTGGAAGGAAGTGAGGATTCCCCATAACTTCTAGGGGTTTTAAGCGACCATGGGCCTCTGCAGGTTTAGAGTCTACACCCCCTCCTAGTGACAGGGAGGTCATATTCTGCTTTTTACACAAGGAGGAGGTCAAACTGGGCCGTATATGTGTTCTAGAACTAGGGAGCTACATAGTAGTGAGTGAGCACAGACCCCCCTCACTTCGGGGAATCACAAACTCACAGTCAGGCCTTGGATACGTGATCACATGGGGTGAGCATCGGCCTGCCTGGGGAACATGAGACCCGGGCCCCTCCCCGTGCAGGACCAGCAGAGTTCCGGGCTGACAAAGCTAATCCGTGCCCTTGGACATTCTATGCTTACAATATGCTTGTTACTTATTAATGTCCTAATGTCAGAGACTCTCCTGACCAACTGCTATGTTTACATGACACGCATGTATTCATGCATCTTTTCCCAGAGCCAATATACGTATGCATATATAAACATAGCACTCTTTACTGCATAACTCAGCACATTGCACGGTTTTCATTAAAAAAAAATACTAAAGGTGGAAAAATGTCACATTGAGTTTTTTTTTTTTTAAGATAAAAAAACAAGAAAGCCTGCAACTATTAACCCATGCATGCAAGGTTCTACCCCGAACATAACTTACCGATCTCATCTCCTTTGGTTTTCTGTCATGTGCCAATACGCTCTGGTCACTCCAAACTTGTCCATTCTCTAACATACATCTGTCCCTTTGTCCACACTTTATTCATATATAGAATCCATTCTCCTTCCCTACTGGTGGAATTCTATTTACCCTTTAAGATCAACTTTAATTTGCACTTCTTAAAGCCTTTCTCATTCTGCTGGGCATGGCTAATTGCTCCCTTCTGTGTTTCCATACTGTTAGATATGTACCTCATTATTGTACAATCCCAATTATATTGAAATCATTTGTTTCAGTCCATTTTTGTTTCTCTATGCATAAACAACAAACATGGTTATGTCATATAGAAATATCATATTCCATCAATCACTCTGCAACTTGCTTTTCACTTGATTTTTTTTATTTATCCATGAACCATGCTCTAGTTTATTTTAATAGCTTTATAGTATCCCATTGTATGAATATACCACATTTTTTTATCTGTTTCTTCTACCTGCAGACATTTAGATTGCATTGTTAAATACAGTCCGCATTGAGCATTCTTGTGCATACCCACTTGTTATTATGTGAGAGTTTAGGTAATGTCTAAAGTAGAATTGCTGAATTGTCAGGTGCATGCATGTTCAGTTTTACTAGAGATGCTCAGTTATTCCTCAGAATGGTCCAGTTTACATTTGAGCCAGCAGTGCATGAGAGTTACTTTTTCTTCACATCCTCATCATCATTCCACAGTATCTCAGTTCTTAGTTATTGCCACTCTGATGTCATGGTAGTCTGCATTTCCCTGATTACCACTGGGTTGAATATCTTCTCTTCTGTTTATCAGTCATGTGAGTCTTTTCTGTGAATTTCCTGCTCATTTGTTCATTTTCCAAGTTTTAGCTCCTTGCATTATATCTGTCTCTTCTGTTGGGCTATGGGCTCAATAAGAATCATAGCCTGGTTTTTACCACCTATAACAGTTGGTCTTCCTCATATGAAAAGAAGTTTCCTCAAGTTGGTGGCAACCAGGAAAATCTAGCAAGAGTTTAAAAGACAAAGAACTACCTGCAAGCCTCTCACACACACCCAAGTTGGAAATTCTTCATACCTGGAGTAGAGTTTGTACGTTTATAGTAATAACAGAAAGAGCCTCTCTTCTTTGTGGGTACTATTACATCCTTTTAATGCCCTTTCTTATGATGGGGTTATGGTAAACCCATTGTAAGTTGAAAATATCATAAGTCAAAAATATATTAAATACATCTAACCTACAAATATAGATTAGCCTAGCTTACCTTAAACATGCTCAGAACACTTACATTAGGCTATAGATGGACAAAATAATATAACATAAGGCTTATCTTGTAG